TTGGGAGGTGAGGGGGGTCTGAATTGTGGTCTGTTGTGCAAGAGTAGACCGGGGCCAAACTTGAAAAAAAGGAATTGTGGGATTTCCATGTTTTTCCAGTTCCTCGGCGCTGTTCGGCGCGGTTTTTTGTTTGTGCCTCGCGGGTTTTGTTAGCCGGGCCCCTCAGGGGTGTGGGATCTTCCGGACCCCCTGGACCTTGAGGCCTCCTGGAGGCCTGGAGAGCCGCTGGAAAGGTGTCTCGGGCTGCGCGGGAACGTGTTGGGCCTTTCTTAGGTTCTGGGGGCTCCTTGAGGTCGTCATGGGCTGTCCTTCCGCGTCTTGGGGTCTCCCCCCGGGAAGCCAGGGGGCGCGGTACCGGCCAGATGTCAGGGGATGTGTGGGACTCCCGAGTAGGAATCCCACTTTGGAAAAACAAAAAAATAAAAATCTGGGAATCCCGTGTTTTTTCTTCAAAATCATCAATCTTCGAGGGTTGGAAGCGGGAAAACGTGAGAAGGTGAGAAACATTAGAAAAACCATTGGAAATCAACGATGTTACCCTCTTGGGATCTCTGGGGACGGCTCTCGCAGCTCTCTTGGGCTGTTCTTGGAGCCTCGTCGGGGTCTTGTTGGGGCCTCTCAGGGATCGGGGTTGTGTTGGGGGCCTCTGGGGGGTCCTGGAGGCCTCTCGGAGGTCTCTGGAAGCCTCCTGCTCCCGCTCTTGGGCCCGTCTTGGGCCTGTTCTGGGGTGGTCTGGGGCTGTCCTGGGCGCCTCTTCGGCAATCTTGGAGCCTTCTTGGTCCGTCTTGGCGCCGTCCTGAGGGTCTCTTGGGTGGTCTTGGGGCGGTCTTGGGAGCCTCTTCGGCGCTCGTGGACCATTGGAAGCTCGAAAACGCGAGAAACCAAAAACATTGAGAAAAACAATGAACATCTACGATATTGGCCTCTTCGGGCCGTCCCGGGCCGTCCCGGGACGCCTCTCGGACCTCTCTTGGGGTCTCTTGGAGGCCACCTGGGAGCCTCGAGAGCCGTCGGAAGGCTGACTTGGGCTGCTCGGGAGCGTCTTGGACCATTCTTTCGAATTCTGGGGGCTTCTGGGAGGCGTCTTGGGCCCTCCTGGGACGCTGTGGAGGCTCCCCGGAAAGGACGGGGGAGCGGTACTGGGAGCGTCCCCGAGATGTGGCGGGGAGGTGTGGGACCCGGGGCCAGGGAGGCGGTATTTGTTCATATTATATAGAACCGCGGGCGCGCTTCGCGCGCGCTTGGGTTCTAGCGCATGCCATGGCGTTGTTAGCTGCGCGTGCTTTTCGGACAGGCTCATTCCATGCCTTGCCTTACCTCGTCCTCCAATATTCCTTATACGTCCTTCCTCGTTAACCCTCCAAACTCTCTTGGTTGTCCTCGCTTGTCGTTTCTCGTTCTTATCAACGGCTTCCTCTTGCTTGGGATTATGCGGGGGCTTCGAGATGTTCAGGGCCGGCGTGGGAAGACATTCAGTATGAAGTGGGCTGGCTTGAAATGTACGGGTCTCTTGTGGATCTTCCTGTTTGGGCTGCCTTGAAGGCCTTGGGGCCCGCTTGGGCCCCCCTTGGGCTCTTCTTCGAAGCTCTCCCGAAGCCATCAGAAAGAGACGAGCGTGAGATTTACGGAATATGGAGAAACCTGAATGGCTTTTGCGTTTGTGGCTCTCTGGGGTTATTTGGGAGGGCCTTTGGGAGTTCCACTGGGGCATCTTGTGGCCCCTGGGGGCCGCCTTGAAACATCTTGGAGCGTCTTGGACCGCTAAGGGGCCATCTTGGCGGCCAGCGGGCGTCCTCCTGAACCAGCTCGGAACCCTCTTCAGGCCGGAAGAATCACCCAAAAACCCCAAAGCGGATCCCGGAGCCAAGGGGGGGCAAATTGGGTTGCGACGGGGGGAGTTTGGGAAAAGTGGACCACCCCAGGGCCACCCCAGGTCCCCTCCCCCATGGGCGGTCCCGTCGTCTTCTTCCGTCGTCCGACGTCCGTCGTCCGTCCGTACGCCATGTTGTTTCTCTGAGATAGCTCTGCCGCGGGCATCTTCTCTCGCTTGCTCTGAGCAGAGAGTGCCGGGGATGCAGCAGCCAGCACTGTACATGAGCTGCTACCTTGGGCTGCAGCTCGCTGGATACTGCTACCTGGAAGGCGCTGCTACCCTGGGCTGCAGTGCCATGGAATGAAATACCCCAGCACGACCAATCCCACACGGCACTTGAACGAGAGATGGACATGCTTGGTTCGCGCATGAATTTCTGTCCTGAGTCCTGAATGGATGAGCATCTAACCCAAATCCGAAATTCCCGGATTCCTTGGCGCCTTCGGAGACTCCGCGGAACCGTTCAGAAGCCAGGAGGCGCGGTACCGGCCAGATGTCAGAGGATGTGAAGGACCCCCGAGTAGGAGTTCCACTTTGAAAAAAAAGGAAATTCTGGGAATCCCCTTGTTTCCTTCAAAAGTTCGATCTTTGAGGGTTGGAAGCCCCCCAACACGGCCCAAGGGAGCCCCGAGAGGACCCCGAAAACGTAGGAACCCAGGAGGCCGAAAACATTGAAAAACACGTTGATGCCGAAAGTAGGTCGTGTGATCGGTTGTTCGGGTTTCGCATCACCGAAGATCCCAGGATCGCCCCATGACGTCACGACGCCACAGAAAGAGCCCAGTGGAGGCCCAACGCAGCCCTAGAGGGGAAGAGGGTCCCAAGAGATCCTGGCCCGGAGAGGCCAACATTATTCCAAGTCGAAGGAGGCCTGTCGAAGGAACCCAACACGGCCAAAGAAAATCTTCCAGGAACCCTAAATGTTCCAGCAATGGGCACAACAAAACAGCTGCCCGAAGTTCCGAGACGGCCCCGCGAGAGCCCGAAGAGCCCGCGATGCTTCTAACGTGGGCCCGAGAGGCTCCGAATGCGTCCAAAGGGGGCACCCGTGTCAGTCTTTGTCTGTCTTGGTCGTCTTGGGGATCTATTGGGGCCGTGTTGGTGCCCTCCGAAGGCCACCTTGGGCCTTCGTGGACCACTGAAAGGCGGTCTGGGGCAGCCCAGGGGACTCTGGAAATGGGGCAGGGGCTGTCCGAGGCCGTCTTGGTAGCTCTTGAGAGGGAGGGATGGCGTCTGGATCTCGCGGGAAGGGGTTCCGATCTGATTCTACGCCTCTCGGTGGCTTCTGTGGGTCTCTTAGGGTGCTTCTCGGGGGCCATGTGGGGCCTCTTGTGGCGTGGGGCCTCTTGGGGCCTCTCGGGCGCGTCTGGGGAGCCTCTGGGGGCCTCTTGGGGGCCTCTTGGGGGCTGGTTGGGTTTCCCAGCTACTCGAGGGCCTCTCTTGGGGCGCTCTCTTTTTTTATGTTCTGAGGTAACACATCCGCCCTGGTCCTGCACTAGCCTGAAAGGCGCGCCTTAGAAGATTCTCCCGCTCGGGGGCCAGGTTCTCTAAAAAGACTTTCAAAAAAGGAGCTTAAAAGGGAGCCCACGGGCGGCTTATAAGAGTGGGCACCCCCTGTCACCCCAACACTCATTCACCCCAATCCACAACAAGAGCAACGTCATCGCCCACGCATGCGCGCCAGAGGCACTCGCACACCACAATCAGGAAGATACACAACTCTGTGGCTGGTCTGCACCTCGATTCGAGAAGGTTTGCACTGCATTGTTTGATAGCGCGTAACACTATACGATGCATAGTACTGCAAAGAGCAATCAGAGACAAAGCGCGACACGCTGCATGCTGGGAAAACAATTCGTTATAATTGGAAATGCAGAAACAGCAGGAAGTGGACACACAACTACGCTTCACTCAGAGAGAACGATCTCCACCACCGCACCAATAGCACAAGTCAGAGACAGTGAAGTCGGCGTCGTCGTAGTAGTCCGTGCACTCCCAGTGAAAAAAAGGCCCAGTGCTGGCAAGTGTACCCCGAGGCGTCCGTGGCCCACTGAGAGCCGCGGTTCGCGCAGTCGTCGTTTTCCTCGTAGCGGTAGTAATAGTGGTTGAAGTAGTCGTCCATGTCGTAGTCCTCGTCGTCCGCGCCGTCCGCGCTGTCGCTGTCGCCGCCGATGGTATCGTAGCTGGAATCTCCAGAGACACTCGGGTGCGTCATCAGGCATGCGGCAGGGCAGAAGTCCAAGTCCTCCATCCTGTTACTGACCATGAGGATGTCGTCAACACGGGTGAACTGGACGCCGTCGGACGACAGAGACGACTTGTACATCTCGCCAAGTGAGCACCCGCACGAGACCTGGCACATGAACTGGATCGAGGAAAACTCGCTCGCGCTGCAGAGGTCGGCGTTCAACAACAACCTGACCTCGTAAGATGCGAGGTAGTCGCACCCGGTCAGGCACCGTGGGTGCGGTACGTCGCGCATCAGCTCCCATTGGCCATCCAAGAACGATTCAACCAAACTCCCGCTTCACCCGGGACTCCGCGTCCAGCTCCTCCCCCTCCTCAGCGCTTGGCCTCCGCATGGCCGCGCTGGCAGGCTCACCTGCCTCCCCCCAGAGGCTGTCCGCCGCCCGCCGCACGGCGCCCCCCCCCTCCCGCGGTGCTGCCCTGGTGCGGCCGCGCGCTCCCCGCGGCCCCGGCTCTGCCCGTGCGCTTGCGGGGCTGCGCGGCGGGGGGGCGCTCCGAATCCGAGCGGCCAGGCGCGATCGCATCGCTCTGCGACCAGCTGGCGCCGATGCCCTCCCTCGGCTGCTCGAGCGCGTTGTCCTCGAGGCTCGGGGCGCTTAGCACCTGGGGTTCCCCCTGGGGCTTGTCCGCGCGTGGCTCCCGAGCGGCAACACTAGCTCCCGAGTGGTCGCGCTGGCGCTCTACCTGGCGCTCCGCCTCCTCGGCAGCGCCTGGCCCCGCGCTGGCTTGCTCGCCTGCCTCCCTCCGGCGACGCCTGCGGGGCTTCTCGTTCTCGCCCTTCAGCGGCTGCGGGTCTCTCGGCTCCGGGGCTGTCATCGCCCTGCCTTCAAAGCTCTCCGACGCCCCGGGTGCATCGCCTTCGGGGCTGCGACGCTTTCGGCGCTGGCGTCCAGTGGTGCTGCCTGCGGGCTCGACAGCGTCCAGCTTCTGAGTGGCCCCTGGCTCCTGGCAGAGCACCGGTGACACCGATGCAAGCGCCGATGTCATTGACTGACGCATGCGTCGAGCCGTATTAGCGATGGCACTGACGACGCTGGGTACCGATGACATTGGGCGAGCACGGCGGGCGTCTCGCGCCATAAGCTTCAGGGCCCTTGGGCCCACACGGCTTAAGCCAAAATGGCTACGGGCCTCTCTTGGGGCGCTTTTTGGTGCGTCTTGGGCCCTCTTGAGGGGCTTCTTGGGCCGTCTTGGGGTTCGTCTTGGGGGTCCCTTCGGCCGTCTTGGGGCGATCTTGGGAGCCTCTGAGGACGTCTTGGGCGGTCGGAAGATAGAAAAGCGAGAACGCCTCAATTCATAGAAGCCCCGCAATGTGGTTCGCCTCTTGGCACCTTGGCACCCTCTTGGGGATCCTCTGGGTGCCTTGTCGAGGCGTCCGGGAGCTTCTGGAGCCGTGTGGAAGCAATCTGGAGCTGTCCTCGAGCATTTTGGAAGCCCCCAAGGCAACCCATTTGCATTCTTGGGCGGTCTGGGGCCCGTCTGGGGGAGGACCGCAAGCAATCCTGGGTCATCTGGGAGGCTGTCTGGGGCCGTCTTCTGGGCTCTGCATGGCAGGGTGTTGGCGTGGGGGGTGGTCTGCATCTGTGGGGGGGTCCGTGTGTAATTCCCCAATCAAAGCTTGCCTCTGTAGGGGTCCTAGCGGATTAAAGGGTTAGGTGAGGTGCGTCGCCGATTTCGGTGGCCGGGCCCGGGTGCCCGGGTGCCCGGGTGCCCGGCGGTGCCCGGGTGCCCGGATGGCCGGTGAGGTGCGTGGCCGATTTCGGTGGCCAGGCCCGGGTGCCCGGGTGCCCGGGTGCCCGGCGGTGCCCGGGTGCCCCGGGGTGCTCAATAGCCCAATAGCCCAATAGCCCAGTAGCCCTATAGCCCTATAGCCCTATAGCCCTATAGCCGTATAGCCCTATAGCCCTGTAGCCCTATAGCCTTATATCCCTATAACCCTAATAGCCTTATATCCCTATAGCCCCATAGCCCATATAGCTCTATAGCCCCATAGCCCTATAGCCCTATGGCCCTATAGGTCACAGTCCTATAGCCCTATAGCCCGATAGCCCTGTAGCCCTATAGCCCTGTAGCCCTATAGCCCGATAGCCCTATAGCTCTAAGGGAGCAATTGGAAGATTAAACAAATCTGATTGGGTTTTTTCTCCGGTATCATTTCATTGGGTGAGAGATCACTGCATGTGTGCATGTACATGCTAGCAGATACAGAGAGGGAGCGAGAGGGAGATAAAGGGAGAGAGAGAGAGAGAGACAGGGAGAGACAACAAAAAGGAATACAGAGAGGGAGAGAGGAAGGGAGGGAAGGAAGGACCGAGGACCCGAGGGAGAGAGGGAGAGGGAGAGACAGTGGGATATAGAGACATTGGACAACAGAGAAAGAGAGAGAGTCAGAGAACGAGAGAGAGAGGTAGAAAGGAAGAGAGGAAAGGTAGGACCAGAGGGGGGACAGAGAGAGAGAGAGAGTGCGATAGAGAGAGAGAGAGAGATAGCGAGAAAGAGAGAGAGAGAGACTGGCTCATGGCACGAGCAACCAACGTGCATCGAACCAGAAGCATATCGTTGACAGGTGGCCCCTCATGACGAAATTGTGAATATAATCCCAAGCCCCACACCCCTGCCACGAAGTTAGGAAAGCAGCTCAGCCAACCCGAAAGAAGAACAGAAAAAAGGAACGAGAGGAGGAGAGGGTGAGGAGAGAAGGAGTGAGAAGAAGAGGGGGGGGGGCAGCAGGGGTGAGTCGACGGGGCGGATGGCCCCTTGAGAACGAATTCTGCATCGCGCTCAACGCCGAACCGCTCGACAAAATCAGCTGAAATCGCGTGGTGGGGCCTGAATGTCCTCCACGCACAGGCTCTGCAGCGCAGCGCAGCCCCAGGTCTGCACCTGGACAGTGTATGTTGCGATTGAGAGGTGCATGGTAAGTCTTTTCGCTTCAGCACGCGGTAGCGTCTCCCATGCCGTCACTAGGACAACCGACCACTGACAATGGCTGTGCAGGCGGGTGCAAACTGCACCTGGCTCGCGCCGAGACGATGTGTTTCATCTGAGGGTGTATATAGGCGTTGCTCAACAGTGTTTGGTTTCACTGGTGTCAAATGTACTGCGTACTACACAAGACCTGCGTGTGGAGGATGGCTAAGGAGGATGAGGTGTTGATGGCAACGAAGAAACCGCCGATTCGAAATCCGCCGGCCCCCTTGTGGGGCCACCAGGCTGTAGGCCGAAGGTTCGCAGTTTCCTGTACCAGTTGCAGCTTCCAGTTTCCACTGTTACAGTTCTGCTTCTTGCTGCTTACTTTTCCTTGTTGATGGACCGCGCGAGGGGGGGGACGGCCCAAACGGGCAGGTTTGGCACGCCCTGAGCGTGTTGTCTGAATTGCTGGGGTGGGACAAAATGGACACCCCTCACGCAGATCGGCGAGGTCAGGGTCCAAAAGACACAGGGGATTTGCAACATTTCTCAAATTTGCTGGCACCCCTCACGCAGATCGGCGGGGTCAGGGTGCAAAAACTCAAGGGACGTGCCACATCTCTGAAATTCGCTGGCACCCCTCACGCAGATCGGCGGGGTCAGGGTGCAAAAACACATGGGATTTGCAAAATTTCTAAAATGTGCTGGCACCCCTCACGCAGATTGGCGGGGGCAGGGTGCAAAAACACATAGGAATTGCCACATCTCTAAAATTTGCTGGCACCCCTCACGCAGATCGGCAGGGTCAGGGTCCAAAAACACATGGGATTTGCCACATCTCTAAAATTCGGTGGCAACCCTCAAGCAGATCGGCGGCGTCAGGGTCCAAAAACGTATGGGATTTGCCACATTTCAAACATTCGATGGCACCCCTCAAGCAGATCGGCGGGGTCAGGGTCCGAAAACCCAAGGGATTCTCAACATGTCTGAAATTCGGTGGCACCCCTCACGCGGATCGACAGGGTCAGGGTCCAAAAACGCAGGGGATTTGCTACATTTCTGGAATTCGGCGGCACCCCTCACGCAGATCTGTAGGGCCAGGGTCCCAAAAAGCACAAGGGATTTGCAACATTTCTGAAATTCGGTGGCACCCCTCACGCAGATCCGTAGGGTCAGGGTCGAAAAACAAACAGGTCCCGACACTGCTTAACGGCGGCGCCCAGACCTCATGATTTAGCTTTTGCATTTTCAATTATCCGAGACAGGGGGCCGGCGGCATGGGGCGAAGCCCTTACGGATACTATCCTGTGCATGTGGCCCGCAGCGCTGGAGAGCACGGCAGCGCGTACGAACACCAAAATGCCAAATTACGATCACCACATTGCACGTCGCCCCCACAAAGCCGGAAGACCATCAGACCGCTGGAATGTATTCGAACCGTTGTCCACCCATGGGGATGTACAAGAATAGTGCGCCAGTAGCGCTGGAATGTCGCGAGTTTTGGCTGGACTCGATGCAAGAATATGCGCCAGCCACGTCCACGACGACGCAGAAACAGTTGCACTCGGACAAGGGTAGCCCCGGCATCCAACAGGCAATCAAATACACGCAGAAGCGAAAATGACTGCAATTTTGCGTTTGGGAGCATCAGGAAACAAAGCGTCACGACAACTCTCCGCTTGGGAGCACCATGTGTCAAAAACAGGCGTTTTGTTTGCAGCTGTTCCGATCGCCGCCTCGGAATGAACAAATTAAGGGTCCCTAGGGACAGCCAGAAAGTGAGGCCTGAAAGTGGCAACAGTTTTACGCTTGTGAATGCAAAAAGGTTTAAAAGTAGCGACAGCTCTACGCGTGAAAGCACCAGCGGCCAAAACGTGACGACAGTGTTACACTTGGGAGCACCAGGTGTCAACAAACATGTGTTTACAATGGTTCCCATGGCCGCCTCGGATTACAATCAGAAGGTGGAGGGCGCAAAAAGGAAGCCGAAAAGTGACGGCAACTCTACGCTTCGAAGCCTCACGGGCCAAAACATGACGACATTCCCACGCAAAACCCGAAGATACTAAAAGTGACGACAGTTGTACGTGTTGGATGACCGCCTCGGACCGGAAAAAAACGATCGCTTTGTGCGCTTGACCGCAAGGAACCCCAGGAACGAGAAGGCAACGACGAGGAGAACATGGTGATAGTGGTGATGATGATCATGATCGCGCTGGTGGTGGAAATCGTGATGGTGACCATGATGATGGCGACGGTTCGCGATGGTGATGATGACGAAAACATAACCACGGTGATGACGATCAAGGCCGTGACGATGATGATCCGAATAATGAGCATGGTGAACACAACGATGATGATAACGATAATGCTGTGGACGAAGTGATGCTGTGGTTCCTGGTTCCTGCGCGGGCGCGCCTGGGGAACAACAAAAAGCTAACCCAACTTGGGATGTAGGGGGAATCCATATCAAAGTGCAAACGGGATCATCAACATGTTTTTCCCCACCCACACCCTGTGACGAAGGCAAGGATGTTCTCGAACTACAACACAAACCTGCTAGGACAGTACAAACACCCTCCAAGGTGCAGTTTGGTACATGGTGCGTCCGAGGCGCCGCCAACTGACCGAAAACAACGAACTCCGCATGAAACTGGGCCGAGCAACGCCGTCGGGAACAAACGACGCGTCGCGAGGGCGACTCCTGGGTACCTGGGTGTCGGGAGCGCGGCGCATTGCGGGGGGCTCCGACGCAAGAGCGCGATTCTCGTGTAAATTGCAAGCGGATCCCCAGCGAGAGCGCGGCTCCAGAGCGTCGAGAGACGGATCCCCGAATAAGTCCCGCCAGCCCTCTGGGCATAGGTGGTCTAGGAAGCTTCCTCTTCCAACCCCCTTTCTACCCATTCGCGGAGGGCTTCATCACTGTTCCCTATTAGTATACACCCCTTCCCCCAGGCGACTGGGAGCCAACCAGGGTCAATGCGGCCCCCCACCACCATCCCTTGTAAAAAACACTACAGAATAGACTCTGCTTCCAAATTCGGAGCATGTGCAGCGAACTCGATGCGGCCTGCCCCCACCATCCCTGTCAACAAACAATACAGAGTACACTTGGCGGCGGCGGCGGCGGCGGCGGGGACAGCGGCGGCTTGCGGCGGTGGCGGCGGTGGTGGCGGCGGCGGCGGCGGCGGGGGCGGCGGCGGCGGCGGCGGTGGCGGCGGCGGCGGCGGCGGCAGCGGTGGCGGCAGCGGCTGCGGCGGCAGCGGCTGCGGCGGCGGCGATTCGGCAGCAGCGGCGACGGCGGCGGCGGCGGCGGGCGCGGCGGCGGCGGCGGCGGACGACGGCGGCGGGCGGCGCGGCGGCGGCGGCGGCGGACACCGGCGGCAGCGGCGGCGGCGCGGCGGCGGCGGCGGCGCGGCGGCGGAGGCGGAGGCGGCGGCGGCGGCGGATTCGCCCCCAGTAGCTGCCCATCCAGAGACGACTGCTGAATATGCTGCGTATCGGACCAGGCTCGGGAGCTACGTATGTGTAGGGAGGGCGGGCGGGAGTGAGCGAAACGGCTTGCGGGCGGGGAGGGAATCTTGACCCCTCCCACTACCCCCTCCCCTTGGACCTGGACGGGGCGTTTCGCGACGCGCTGAGGCGTCCAAGATGGCCCAAGATGGCTCCAAGAGGGCCTCAGAGAGCCCAAGATAACCTCCAAGATGGCTCAAGATAGCGCAGGGTCGCTCAAGACGGCTCCCTAGCTGTTCCTAGAGGCCCCAAGACCGCCCCAAGACGGCTCCAAGTGGCCAGAGAGCTCCCCAAGGAGGCCCCGAAGAAGCCCAAACCCTTCCAAAACCTAAGGGGATCCAGGTGTGTTGCCTTCTCGCCGTTTCGCTTCCGATGGCCTTCCGAGGCCCCAATCTAATTCCGAGATGGCCCACGAGGGCCCCAAGACAGGCCCAAGAAAACCCCAAGACGGCCTCAAGAGCGCCCAAGAGCGCTCCTAGATCGCCTCGCGAGGGGCCCAAGAGGTGATTGTTGGGGCTCCCGATGGGGGAACGCAAATTAAGGAACCGCCCTTTATTGATCGATATCATCCAAGATGGCCCCAAAAACGCCCATAAAGATCCCAAGAGCGGCCCAAGAGGGTCCCAAGAGGCGCCCAGGCGGCCCCAAAGGGCCTCCAAAAGGCTCCCAAGAGACCCCCAAGGGGCCCCAAAAAAGGCTTCAAGAGGACCCCCGAGGCACCCAAGATGCCCCCCAGGCGCTCCCAGAGGCCCCCCGGGGTACCCAAGACGCCCAAAAGCCTCCCAGGACCGCCAAGAGACCCACAAGACGCCCCAAGAGGCCACGATGATACGCCCAAGCTATATCCCAAGAGGCTCCGAGAGGCATCCAAAAGACCTCTGACCCTTTTGCTCGCCCTCCTCTCCCTGCTCCTCCTCCCTTCTGTGTTCTCTTCCTCCTCCTCCTCCTCCTCCTCCTCCTCCTCCTCCTCCCCCTCATCATCATCATCATCACCATCACCACCACCACCATCATCATCACCACCATCATCATCACCATCATCATCAGCAGCAGCATCAACATCAGCATCAGCATCGGCATCAGCATCAGTATCAGCATCAGCATCATCATCATCAGCAGCATCATCATCATCATCATCATCATCATCATCATCATCATCATCATATTCCGAATTATTTTCCCCACTCCCTCATCCATCCATCCAGCCTCCTTCTTTTCCACCTCCTCCCTCCTTCGCACGGTTCGGCCGTCCACCTCTTTGCTCCCGCACTTCCCTAATCACCTCAACTCGCCTGGATCCCGTTTCTGGATGGGCTGGCGGGGGTACTTTTTTATCGCAACCGCAGGCGAAGGCGCCAGCGGCGAGTGAGGTCCGAGCGGGCCGCGCAAGAGCCGAATTGCCTAACGCCGACGGGCCAGCGACCTCAGCAGAGCCTCGGCGGGCGGGCCGGCGCGAGGGGGAGGTGCAGGCTGCGGCTGCCAGGGACCAGGTCCAGGAGCAGGCAATACGCTGCGTCAGCTGCCATTGGGTGGATCATACTGGCCCTAAACTGGTGCATAGGGTAGCGCCACCAAAGTCGCACACCAAGACTCCTGAAGGGAGTACTGATCCTGCAACGACCGTCCACAGGGTGGTTCCGGTAGGACGAACGAAATGGCCGGAACAACGATGGATGTAATCGACACCGTAACACGCCTGAACCACCGGATCAGGTAAAGCCACGCGCGCTCTCGAGCAAGAGCGCCGACGTCTGAGAGCTGACCAAAGCCAGGGCAATCCACGTCTCAAGCACCGGTTCGAGTGAACTGGGGGGTGCCGTGGGCATCGCCGCCAGGGACCGTGGACGTAGTCAACACAGTCGTCCGACAGCCAGGAGAGCACAGGCTGAACCACGTGCACTCAGGGGCCCCAGGCGCCCCACGATGGGTTTGAGCCGCTGGAGCTGGGGGACCAGGGGCCCGAGCTGACGGAGCCGCTGCGACGCCCAGCCGCCTGAGCGGGGGGGCCAGGAAGGAGTGGGGCAGGGCAGCCCATCCGCGGGGAGCGAAACCGCTCCAGCGAGGCGGTTGCCTGTGGGCGCGGGGAGTGGAGCGCGCCAATTGTGGTGAAAACTTGCCGAATGCAGAGGGAACACCACCAAGTGCGGGAACGCATGTCGCCTCGCCCGTCGCCGTAGTGAACGACCCCCGCAAGTCTTCTGTCTGCTGCTGGGCCCGTCCTCCGGGCAGGGAAGGCGTGATGCCCCCATACCGAATGGCCCGCTGTGGCCCACTGCTGGTCGACATACCAGGGTACCAGGAAGCAGCTGAAGGCTGGGCTTTCTGCAAAGAAACCACAGCAACCATAGCGTCCATGCGCGCCGGGCTGCGTCTAGGGTGAAACACTGGTGGGGGTACGCGAAGCGTCTAGAATTGTAACGAAGTCTCTGGCGGGAGCGGGGGTCCCAGCTTATGTGTGAGGAAGTCTCCTGCGGGAGCCGTTTTTGTTGTAATCCGGGAGGCAACAGCGCAGTTTGAGCCTAGTGAACTTCCCTGACAAAGAGCAGGGAGCGAGCCCTGGGGGAAGCACTTCAATTGAATAACACAATGGTTACCAGAGGGGGGTCAACAATAACTATTCTTCAATAGTGAAAATGCAACCCGCTTCGTGGAACCCCACTTCGGCCACGCACTTAAGGACTGCGAATGACCGTTCGGCCCCCTCACTCTGACGAACGCCACACACAGGTCCACACTGTGCGTCGCCTGTGTCTGAAACTACGTCTAGAGTGGTTAAGGCACCTCTGAATGTACCCCATCGGATGCAAAACTGGGCCAGGGGATCTTCATACTCTTTCTCTGGTCCCAGAAACGCTCTTCTCTTCTGCCACAACACGGTCGCATCTTCGATATATAGGATCGTGCCTAAGGCATCAGAAAGCTGCTTGCCCGCTACCACTGAAAAGCTGCCAATGACATGGCACATGCTCCTTCGCTGGCGTGGGCACGACAGAACGTGGAGGGGGGCGCGTGAGGGACACGAGGAAGCTCGAGGGAACACCGCTGACCGAGGGAGGGGGAGAGGGAGGGAGGAAGACGACGACGACGACGACGACGACGACGACGACGACGACGACGACGACGACGACGACGACGACGACGACGACGACGGAGGACGAGGACGAGCAGGGACGGGAGAAACGGGAGGATGGAAGGGGAGCGGTGCAGGAGGATGAGCAGAACGCGTTACATGTTGGTCCAACGTATGCTGATATACGTGCGCTGGTAAATTCACCCGGACAGCTGCAGATACACATGCTTACGGACCGGACAGGGATGTGCAGGGAACGGGAAGGAGGGAGTGGCAACGCCAAGCGAACTCCAAACGGGGACGAGGAGGGTAGAGAAGAGGTGCCTGTGGGAGTGGTGAGATGACGGGGGGGGGGCAGTAAGAGGGAAAGGGAGGAGGTTGGAGGAGAGAAGGGCGGGGAGGGGCGAGGGGTGGGGAGGGGAGGAAAGGGGGCCGGGGTAGAGGAAGGGGTGGGCAGGGAGGGAGTGGGGGCAGGTAGGAAGAGGGGTGAGAGGGGTGGGAAGGTGGGAATGGATGGATGAAAGCACGTCGTCTTGACCAATGCTTCATGCCGATGCAAGTCGCAGCGGCAAGGAACCCAGACGGGGAAACACATGTACGGTGACCTCACAGCGAGTAACCGCGCAGCAAGCAGATGTTTCGAAAAAGGCCGCAGGCTCCTTGGCTTGTCCACGGTGGGCACGCATCGCCTCGAGCACAACCTCTGTGGGGGCTGAGATGCCACGTTCCCTTCATCGACGTCCTCCTCCTCGTCCTCCTCCTGCTCATCTTCGTCCTCCTCCCCCTGGTCCTCCTCAACCACCTCATCCTCATGATCCATGATCCAGGACAGTGAATTGCCAAGCACATCCGTGTCGACGGAGTGTGACGTGTTTGATGGCAGCGGCAACCCACTGGACATGGAACCTGATCAGATCGCATCTCTCACTGCTGCTGCGCCTCTTCGTCTAGCATCAGACGGATCGTGTAGCAAGCAGTTGCTGCGACCGCTGCGTAGAGCCTCCTGGGCGATCGCAGTGTGCCCAGATGCTGGAGATGAGCCCGTCGTTGTAATGCGCGGGATAGTCCCAGGTCAGCTTCCCCACTCCAGCGATGGCTGAACACGTTGCCATCGCTCTTTGTGGTCAAGTGGCGACACGAGAGGCTCAGCTCGCATCTGATTGTCCAGCGGCGGTCAGAGTCTGTCAGCAGCAGGTCTCGCGTCAGATCAGTGTTTCTAGCAAGTTTGCAGCCATCAGACAACCTCCAGCTGGAGGGGACGCCCTTCATACAGTCCATCCAGCATGTCAAAGCGCACCGCTCAAAGGGGTCCTCGATGATTTGGAGGGCACTGAAAAGATTTATGCACATGCGAACTCGGTTGTGGATAAGCAAGCACAAGTTGCCCTAGATACACACCCGAGCCCTTTGCCCCAGTGTTTAGCTGATTTGGATTTGGCGGCTCAAAGGGCCTCGTGGTTCATGAAAGTTGCCGAGGAGGTCCTGCCCCTTGTTCAGAATGATGTGCGGTGGAAAAGGCCACCCAAGACGTTTGCCCCTAGGTCTCGGCGTTCTGTATCCTGGCACGAATGGAAGCTCGGCGAGTTAGGCGTACAGTGCAGATGTTGCCTGGCTTTGGCCGAAGGCCCACGCGAGCAGCTGCACATGAACGGCTGTCCAGGCGTGCCGAAGGTGATTGAGAAACTGCTCTCTGATCCGAAGGGACATAGCTTCGTCGCCTGGGCTGGACCGACGGCCCGAGACGCTGTGGAGGGCTCCTCGTCGGCGTCGTGTCGCCCTGCGTCCCGAGAGCAAAATATCGTATGTTTGAATTGTGGAGGGTGGTCCCAAGGACGAGCTCGAAAGCTCGGCCGCAGTTGCGAGCCGCCGGCGAGAAAGGGTCTCGAGGTCCTCGGGAGGCTCCGCCAGGGCAAGTGCCCAAACCGTCGTGTGCAGGCGCTGCTTGATAAGACTGTGCCTCTCTCGAGGCTGGCGGAGTCGACGTCAGACCACAGGACCTCGAGCGCCCCCTCCGTTGTTCGGACTCGTTGTTCGGCCTCGGACTCGGACCCCTCCAATGAGCAACGCATGTCAGCACTCGTAGAACGAATCCGACTCAAAGAGCAGGGTTCGGCCGCTCGTTCTCGGGGGGAAGTTTTGTTGGGCCTCCAGAGTCGGCCTGTCGGCCCAACTACAAAGCGACCCTTCCCCACCTTGTTTTTAGTTTTTAGTGCCGTGCACTTCCCCCATGGGCATTCCACTCCATTCCATTCCATTCCATTCCATTCCATTCATCCTCATGATCCTCCTCGCCTACGCTCCTTTCTGTGCTGGGCGGACATGGGCAACGGAGCCGAAGCGCTTATATGAGAAAACCAAGCGTATGCGTATTGTACAACAAAAAAGCGTGACACACGTAGCTGGACAAAAGTTATGGGCAGGAGAAACACATAGAAATGAAGAAACTTCGCTTCTCCTCCTCTGTGCCACAGCCTCCCGCATGGAAGCTTGACCACAAGGCAGGTCGACACCCGTCCGTCGTAGATGGGCCCTAATGCATGATATACATCCGCGCCCAAACGTAATTGCGGACCGTATGCTCGTGACCGACGGCATGTTGGTTCCCCGCAGCTCGAAACTCTGCAAAGTCCTCAGCGTACGATGGCTCATCCAATTACATCACGCAGGACGGACTCTTGTTAGCTCGGCCAGTTGCCCCATACATGCTGGCCGCCCAAGGGTCTTGTCAATCCCAGAGAGGCTCGAATGCCTGCCTAACCAGCTCTATCTTAGCTTTGATCAAAAGCCAACTGACTCAGTATGGGAGGCTGGCGGAGCCCAGGACACGCTGCGCTCAGGCAACGCCTGAGCCAGATGTCATACGCATCTCATTATCAGTCGTTCTCGGCGAGGGGTCACCGTTGAGGAAGGATCGCGGCGGCGTCTGCTGGTAGCGGGCCACAAACAGGTTCGGCTTGTCGAGACCAACAACCGACGATGCCTGATCATCATAAGGAGTGCACGGCAAGACACTTCGCGGGTCGACTCTCCAGGATTGGCGAGGAGCCCAGACTCGTCATGTCAAATACCTGCAGATTGGACTATTGCACTCGCTATTGTTAGCAATGCAGCGACGATGCCGTAATACACTGGCACAGTAGGAAGACCGGAAAACGTGCTATGTCCTGCTCGGCTATCGACTGTCGATCATTACCTCGGTGCTACCATCATTACCGATCATTACCGAACAGACTGTTGTCAAGGCTCGACTATCGATTATTAGCTAGGTACTCTCATGCCCGATCGACTCGATGATCTGCTTGAAGTGGAATCAAGGCGAACAAGTGCCCTCCATTGGCAGCGGATGGAGTATAGCGTAGCTGAAGTCGTGCAGGATCGTTTGCCACGGCGCTGGCAGCAATAGGCGCGCCTCTAGCCCCTCTGTGCCCCTTGAGAGTCCCACCAGCCCTCTGGGCGTCGGTGGTCTAGAGAGAGTTTCCTCTTCCAACCCCCATTCTTCCCCTTCGGGGAGGGGTTTACCCCTCCCCTACCCCCTCCCCTGGACCTGGACGGAGGGTTCCGCAGGTCGTTGGGGCGTCCAAGATGGCCCAAGACGGCTCCAAGAGCGAAAAGGCGAGAAAGCACAAAACATTGATTTTCCCTATGTTTTTGAAGGAGTTTGGCCTCTTGGGGGGCCCAAGAGGCGATTCGAGGCACTCTAGAGGGGCGAGGCTAATTGGCACCCCGCCCTTCTTTGATAGATCTCGTCCAAGATGACCCCAAAAGCGGCCCGAAGGCTCCCAAGAGCGCCCCAAGAGCGCCCCAAGAGAGCCCCAAGACCCCCCAAGAGGCGCCCAAGAGGCCTCCAAGAGACTCCCAAGAGATCCCCAAGAGGCCCCAAGAGGCTCCCCGAGATACGCGAGAGGCCCCCCGGGACCGCCAAGAAGCCCCAAAGACGGCCCAAGGGGCCCTCAAGCTCGCCATTGTCCTCTTCCTCCTCTTCCTCCTCCTCCTCCTCCTCCTCAGTTTCTTCCTCCTCCCTCCTCCCCCTCCCTCTCCTCCTCCTCCTCCTCCTCCTCCTCCTCCTCCTCCTCCTCCTCCTCCTCCTTCTCCTTCTCCTTCTCCTTCTCCTCCTCGTCCTCCTCATCCTCGCCCTCCTCCATCTCCTCTCCTCCCCCTCCTCCTCCTGCTCCTCCTCCTGCTCCTCCTTTTCCTCCTCCTACTCCGACGACGACGACTCCTCCTATATTCTCCCCCTCTTGGGGCATATGGCGGCTTATCCGCCCTGTGTTTTTCTGCATGCTCCCCCGCTTCCCTCATCACCTCCACTCTCCTGGGGCTCATTTCTGGACGGGCTGGTGGGGATACTTTTTGATCTGCGGCTCCAAGGACGATTCCAGAGAGCGGGTCGAAACAAGCAAACTGGTGGGGATACGCGAAGCGTCTAGAAGAAGACAAGCCCATTGATATCCAATGAGAGAGTACACATCCGCCCCTCCCCACGAGATGGACGTGAACACGAACCTATTTGTGGCACTAGGTCGCAATGCTGGTTCGCCTCGACGGTCGTAAGCCTGCCCAAGAGGGCTCCACATGGTAAAAGGCAAGCTAGCGGCCGCCCCATGACCAACCCAGGATAGTCATAAGGTCGCCCAAGAAGGCCCGTAGACTTCCCCTTACAGCACCACGGAGCTCTCCAAAGCGTCCCAGCGGCGCCAGAAGCTAATCAAAACATACAATCTCAAATACCGTTCCCTTGCCATCAAGGAGTGCCAGAAGTTGCACCTGGTCGGCCCACAGACGGCCCTCGGGTGGCCCTGGATGGTGGTCTTGCGGCCAAGGTGGTCCCCCCGAAGGGCCCCAAGAGGGCCCAAGAGGGTTCAAACAACCCGAGACCAATCATGCAACTGCTCAGCAATGCCCCAAGACCAGCCCAACCCCCGAAAGTTCAGGGGCCCTCCCCACTCCCCACCGGCCCGAGAGCCCCTAGACTCTAGACGGGCCTGAGGCCCAGTAAAAGCCACCAGAGGCAACCGAGGCCTAAAAGAGGCACGCGAGAAACCTCCACGAGGCTCCAAAAGGTCCAGCAGAGGCCACGCAACAACCATGCAAAGCTACAGTCGTGCCACACTGCAGCGTTGCAGCTCACCTGCCGCTACCGCGATGGTGGATATCTGGAGAAGAGCAAGTGAAGCATAACTTTACACGTCATGAATTTCATTTCTTTCACGGCGTGCAGTACACCCCCTGTCGCGCGACTTACAGCAACCAAGAACGTGCAGCTCATTCGAGCCCTGCTCGAAAGCAATCCGCCACCGTGCCCCGAGACACGAGTTGCCTTGGAGTCCTCCGTCCTCAATCCTGAATATTTTAAGCCGTTCTCAATTCTGAGGAAGTCTTGGAAGGGATTCTGAGCCCTGCCAGGCTCTGTTGGCGCTTTTGGGCCTTCCCGCATGACTGTTTTGGAGCCAAGAGGGCCCCGAGACGGCCCAAGAGGGCCGAAAGATGTCCTTCAGACGGTCCACGAGCGCCCCGAATCGCCTGAAGATCGCTTCAAGACGCCCCAGATGACCTCCAGGCGGCCCAAGAGGCCTCCCCAAAAAAGTACCTCCGAGACCGCAAGCAGGCCACTAAAAAGACCCCCAGAAGCTCCAGGAGGCCCCGAAGAGGCCCGAATCAGGCCCCGAAAACCTCACAAAAGCCCCAACAGGCTCCGAAAACACTCCGTGGCCACCTCTAAGAGGCTTCCCAAAAGCTTTCCAAGAGATCCCCACAGGCATATGAAAGCCCTCTGACTTGTAATCGGGGCACGGTGGCGGGGTGGGCCTCGGGCCGAAGGCCGCTAGATCCGCCGCCCCCTGTGCTTGCCACAGGGGTGCCAAGCGTGCTGGATCCTTTCGGTGTTGGTTCTTTTAGAACTCCTCCTGGGGGTTCGGCCCAGCGAGCCAGCCACCCGGAAAATGCACAAGTCAATGCCGTGCCCGCTCCAAGATGGCCCTAGATGGCCTCCAAGACGGCTCAGATGGCCCGAGGTGGTTTCCAAGTTCGCCCAATATGGTGCAAGACGGCCTCCACGACGGCCCAGGAGGGTCCAAAATGCCTCCAAGTCGGCATAAGAAGCCTCCAAGACGGCCCAACAGGCCCCCAAGAGGCCTCCAAACCAGGCCGAGAGGCATCCCTGAGGTCCGCCAGGAAGGCCCGAAGAGGCTCAGGTGTTTGAAGGTTTGTCGTATGTGCTCCTTGTCGGCCTTCCGACGGCCCAAGATGGCCCCAGAGGCCCCAATCATCGCCTCCAGAGCGCCCATGAGGCTTCCAAGATGGCCTCAGTACTGCCCAAGAGGCCCCCAAGACGGCCCCAAGAGGGACCCAAGACGGCCCAAGAGGCCTCTAAGACGCAGACGCCCAAGGAAGCCTCCAAGGTGGCCATGGAGCACCCCAAGGGGGCCCCAAGTCGGCCCAGAGAGGCCCCCAAGACAGCTTCCGACGGCGTCAGACGGGCCAGGAGCCCACCAAGACGGCCGAAGATGGCTCTACGATGTCCCAAGACGGCCCAAGAGGCCTCCAAGAGGGCCTCCAGGAAGGCCCGAGGGAAGCCAAAATCATTGTTAGTTCCTTAGGTGTTTGAAGGACTTTGGCGCTTCTTTTCGGCCTAACGACGGCCCGAGACGGCCCGAGACGGCCCAAGAGACCCCAATGATCGCCCCAAGATAGCCCCCAAGACGGCCCCAAGAGGGACCCAAGACGGCCCAAGAGGCCTGCAAGACGCCCAAGAAAGCCTACAAGACGGCCATGGAGCACCCCTAGAGGGCCACAGGTCGGCTCAGAGAGGCCCCCAAGACGACTTCCGACGGCGTCAGACAGGCCAGGAGCCCACCAAGACGGCCGAAGATGGCTCTACGACGTCCCAAGACGGCCCAAGAAACAGGGCCTCCAGGAAGGCCCGAGGGAAGCCAAAATCATTGTTAGTTCCTTAGGTGTTTGAAGGACTTTGGCATGTACTTCTTTTCGGCCTACCGACGGCCCGAGACGGCCCAGGAGCCCCCAATGATCGCCCAAAGATCACCCAAAAGGCCTCCAGTATGGCCCCAGAACGGCCCAAGAGGCCCCCAAGACGGCCCCAAGAGGGCCAAGTCGGCCCATAGAGGCCCCAAGACGGCTTCCGACGGCGTACGGACCAGGAGCCCACCAAGACGGCCAAAGAGGCCCCCGAGAAGACCCCAAAGGCCCCCAAGAGGCCCCCAGGAGGCCCAAGGTGGCCCCCAAGAGGCCTCCACAAGGCTCCCAGGAAGCTCCCAGGAGGCCCCAAGAGTGTCCCCAGAGGCTCCCAAGATGCCCCCTCCTCCACCGTTCAGGAGGTTGTTGCTTCTTTTCGAACTCCCCTGAAGCTTCGGCCCAGCGCGCCGGCCAACCGGAAGGCCGCGTAAGCCGCAGAATAATTTGTCCAATCGCTTCCAAGACGGCCAAGATGGCATCCGAGTTCGCCCAGTATGGTCCAAGATGGCTTCCAAGACGGCCCAAGAGGTTCCAAGCTGCCTCTCAGTCAGCCCAAGAAGCCGCCAAGACGGCCTAGGATGGGCCTAAGACGGCCTAAGACGACCCAAGAGGCCCCAAAGGCCTCCAAGACGGCCTAAGAGGCCTCCAAGAGGGCCTCCAGGAAGGCGTGCAGAGGCAATAATCATTGATTGCCCTCAGGTTTTTTGAAGGATGTTGGCATTTGCTTCTTTTCGGCCTACCGACGGCCCGAGGCGGCCCAAGAGCCCCCAAAGATCGCCCACAGATCACCCAAGATGCCTCCAAGATGGCCCCAGAACGGCCCAAGAGGCCCCCAAGACGGCCCCAAGAGGACCCCAAGCCAGCCCAAGAGGCCTCCAAGACGCCCAAGATGGCCTCCAAGACGGCCCTGGAGCACACCAAAAGGGCCCCAAGTCCTTTCAGAGAGGCCCTCAGGACGGCTTCCGACGGCGTCAGACGGGCCAGGAACGCCCGAAGACGGCCAAAGAGCCCCCCAAGACGCCCCCGAAGGCCCCAGGAGGGCTCCCAAGATGCCTCCAAGAGGCCCCCAGGAAGCTCCCTGCAGGCGCCAAGAGTGCCCCCGAGGGTATCAAGATGCCCGCTCCTCCTCCTCATCCTCCTCCTCCAGATTTTCCCGCCCTCCCCACATGTTCCCTGAAGGGTTTCCACAACGGCTGGGGGAACACATTGTCCGATAGCTTGGCAGAGCTCTGGCTACAACGTTCGGCCACATGGGCGATTCCAAAAGGCAGGGGGCGGCAGAGATTCGCCGTAGGCGTCTTCGATCCGCCACCCCCTGTTGGCTTGCCACAGGGGTTCCCGGCGTGCTGAGGTTCAAATGATGTTTGGTTATTTTAAAGCCGGCAGGAGCCGACTCCGCGAAGGAGTGCGGCGCGGCCAAGCAGGCCGAAGTCGCCGCGCAAGCCGGCACGACGCGCCCAGAGGGTCCACCCAGGGGCACACGCACACTCACACACAGACACACACACACACACACGCACACACACACACACACACGCTCACACGCACACACAAACACACACGCACACAGACACACACACACACACACACACACACACACACACGCGCACGCACACACACACACACCCACACACACACACACACACGCGCACACACACCCACACACACACACACGCACACGCTCCGACACATCTGATCTTGAAAGACTGCTCGCAATGGTGTGAGTTTTGATGTCCCGATGGCCTTGAACACTATTTCACTCCAACGCCCTCCTACTTCCATCTCCTCCTCCTCCTCCTCCTCCTCCTCCTCCTCCTCGCTCCAACCTCCCTTGATGTATCCGTCAGTGCTACTCCGGCCAGCTCTTGGCAGCTCCCCCCCGCGGGGCCTCGACCCCACCCTGGTTCAGGATCTCCTTCAGTGGGCGGTGACCCGGGTCGAAACGCCCCAGGAGCGCGGGAGTGAGGAGGAGGAAGTGAGTGGCGGGAGGGAGGGAGGGGTGCGGGCGCGAGTGAGGAGGGGACACGAAGGGAGTGGAATTAGAGGAGAGAGGGAAACGCAGGGATTAGAGGGACGGGGGGAAAGAGGGGGTGGGAGACGAGAAAGGGAGAAGAGAAAAAAACGGGGTCGACACATCTGTGCGAAAACACCCGGAGCAGACGCGATTCGCCTCGCTTGAAGCTGCGCACTTTGCCCAGCTCGCTTCGCCCGAGTCTGCCTTCGCCTGGCTCACGTCGCCCGAGCCTCGCTTCGCCCGCCCCCCTCCGTCTGGCTCGCTTTCCCCGAATCTCGCGTCGCCTGGTCTCGCTTCGCCCAGCTCACTTCGCCTGGCTCCGCTCGCCCGAGTCTGGTCCGCCAGACACACGTGTCCGCCCGCCCGACCTGTCCATTGGTGTCCGCGGCCATCCCGACCCGCCCATCAAGGTCCGCCCGCTCGACCCGCCCGTTTGAGCCACTTCGCTCGCATGCTGGAAGACCCGCCCGCACGGTTCAGCCTCGTGCACGCAGACACGCTGGTTAAGCTCTACCCGCCCGACATGCCCGCTATTGGGGTCCTGCCCGTCTGGCTCACCCCGCTCGCATGCTGGAAGGCCCCTCCCCGTAGCTTTGTATGTCCAGCCCGCCCGACCCGTCCGTCGGGGTCCGTCGACCAGACCCGCCCCTTAGGGCCAGTCGAGGCAAGCCCCGGCTAAGCGGGTCCTGGCGAAGTGAACCCCAGCGAAGCGAGCCACGGTGAAAGAGACTCGTGCGAAGCAAGCCCTGGCAAAGCGAACCCCAGCGAAGCGAGTCCAGGCGGAGTGTGACTCGGGCAAGGAGCGCCGAGGGAGAAAGACGCGGCTTGAAGACCGAGCGTATGATCTGAGCACCACCCCACAATAAATGATTTGGCAAGAAGCACCACCCCGCCTCCTTCATCCTCCTCCTTCTTCTCCTCCATCAAACTGTGTTTCCTCCCGCGTCGTTCTTCAGCCATCCCGTCGCCTCATATTCCCACTGGCCCTTTGGACGTAGATTGTTTGAGGAGCTCGTTTTGCGAACTCCCATTACTCCCCGTCGGGGAGGGGGTTACCCCTACCCAAACCACCTTCCCTTGGTGAGTGGGGGGCGCCTGAAATGTTGAAGGTTTCCGATTGGCCCCGGATGGCTGCAAGATGGTCCCACATAGCTCGAGATCACCTCCAAGATGGCACCAAATGGCCCCAAATGGCAAGATGACGCACGTTGTCCTTCGATACGCTTTCACAATGCTGCACGACCATCCCGAAACGTCCCCAAGTGTCCACGAAGCCTCCCAAGAACGACTCCGAGACGCAACAGTCCATTCATCGCACGCGCGGCAATGTACAATATTGACTTTATACAATGCATCACTGGAGCAAAGGCTGAAGGGTGAAACGGCCCGCTCCGAAAGCCTTGTCCCGATGTTCATGTCGAATCTCTCCACTTCTCGATGGAGCTGAACTTGCCCAAAGCCCGGCAAACCCGCCCAGCAAACTGGGACACGTGAAGCGGTAAGACGATGGGCAAGGGCGTTGCCCTGGGCCCAACCATCGGCGAACAGAAGCGCCAACTCCCGCAAGCCGCCGAAGCAGGCACGCGGCAATGGCCTCACCCGAGCCCAAATGGACCCGGAGGCAGCCGTAAAGTTCGGTGAGCCCCAACGACAAGCCGCCGCCCACGGTCACGAAGGCGACCCTGGTCAAAGAAACTGGCAGGTATAGCCCAGACCATGAAACAAGACCTGCGACCCAGCCAAACCGGGAAACATTGCCCCCGCGACCCAAACCGTGCAGCAAAGGTGAGTCACGGAGGGTTTGGTGCCCAATCAAAAAGCTGCCCGGATTGGACCAAAAGCGACGGGCAAAATGCGATGCGATGCGACCATCGTTGCGGACAGTGTCCGGGCAGAGCTCAAACCAGGTGGATGACGCCGTGGCTTCAAGAATCTGGCTTGTCTGGATACGTAACATGCAAGACACACAAAAAGTTAGGAGGAGAGGAGGATGAGGAATCATATTAAATCCTTGGTGTCGGTGTCGGCGTGGGCCGTGCGTGTCGTCTCGACTCATCTGGATGTTTATGTTATGCGTTTTGGTCCTGGGCGTTTGCTGATGTGAGGTCGGCGTAGTGATATTCGAGCGCAGTCCATGTTTTGGTATCTTGGGCTGAGTGCGTCCATGTGATGTCGTTCATTTGTCCTCTTGATTGGGTTTGTGTGGGTTGTCGGTGGAAGTCAGCTCTGCGTTGGCGCAAATACGAATTTACGTCGTCGTCCCAATGCTTGCGTTGGCCACCGTGCTGCCTCTGTCCCTGCGGGGGTCGGTCCAGGTCTGGTTGCCAGCGTAGCACTCGCCATGTCCACCTTGCTCAATCGTGGTTTGCGACTCTTGAAGCCATGCGCCGTACTGATCGTTTGCGTACCGTCATCCAAATGTCGTCGCGGTCAAATTTTATAAAGTGCTCTGCTCGCCGTGCCACTCTCTGAATGTATCCGGCCCAAGGTTCCAACTGGTCTGAAAGAGTGTTGTCTTCGCCGCTCTCGCTGTGCATGTCGGGCGTGATCGGCGTTTCGCGCTGAAGTGCGTTGCTGTCTGCGTCGTCGCTAGTGCTGTTGGTGTTGTGTCTCGTTGCTTGTGCTGTCAAAAACAGTGGGTCTCTGGCTGCTGTAAAAGTCTGCTTGTTGTATTGTGCGCCGCCGCGGCGTTATGATGATCATGCGAAGCACGCGTCTGTGTGTCCGTCGTAGCTGCTGCCGGAAGGGCTTCGTGAGCGTCCACGCCTCTGATTTGTATTCAACTGTCGGTGTCACAGTGCTGCTCAGTAGCCGCAGTCGGTGAGCCAGAGGGTCGCACTGGCCGGTCAGCTTGTGTTTGCGAGAAGTGAGCGATGCCCATGCTGCTCTCGCGCGGTGGTGAATATTCGTGTCCATGGGCTCGTGAAGCTCAACAACTGGCCGACATATAGGAGACTGCCGGCGTATAACATGTTCGATGTCAATGTCTTGGACACGTGCTCTGCGTCCGGGTCCTTCTCGTCCAGTTGCTTAACATGTTTGATTTGCTCGAGTGTAGTTCGAGCCCTTGCGGCGTTGGTGCGCGCGCAGTGTCGTCGATCATCGTAATCAGACGCGAGGAGTTTGGCTGGTCCGGAGCACGTCGTCGGCAAAGCGTAGGTTGGCAAGCATGGCGGTGCCCGCGGATCCCAATTCAACTCACTTTCACGTTCCGCTGCCGTTCGGACACCAGTGGGCCAAGGATGTGTTGTAGAAGAGCGTTGACAAGTAGGGAACTGAGTGGGCCGCCCTGGTTCGTGCACCGCAGAAGGCTGAAGGGTCTGATGTTGGCGTCTGTTTTCGCTGTAGCTGTCTGTCCCTCGTAGGAGCTGCTGAAGTCGTGCAGTGCATCCGCATCGCACGCCTTGCGAATCCAGTGGTGCCCATATGGTCTCGTGCTCGACCAAGTCGAGCGATTTTTTGAGATCAACTGCCGCGATCGAGAAATTTGGCCCCATTCGTGTACCCGCTCATGTACGAGGTGGAAGGTGAAGATGTGGTCTGTGGTCGAGTGGCCTGGTCTGAAGCCCGCCTGGTCGGCAGTCTGGTGGGAGTCGAGCGCTGTTCGTAGCCTGCTGTGAAACAGTCGGCTGAAAGCTTGTAAAATAACAGTACCGTGCAAACAAAGGCAGTAGTTGTGTGGAAACGTGAGATCTCCACTGTTCGGTATTACTGTGATGACTGTTCCCTTCCAACTCGCTTGCGGCGGGGCGCTACATTGCAAGATCGTGCTGTAATATAAAGGTGGACAAGTGCACATCTGAATTATTCTGTGACTCTTTAGACATTTCTGCGCGGAAGCCTTGGAGTCGGGTGCTTGGCCAAGCCGGAGAGCGTTGATATCCTTGTTTATCTCTATCGGTTAAAAAAATGGTAGTCGGTGGGTCTACTCATCTGTGGTCAATTGGCAGTCTGCCGGGCTGCTCGTTGGCGGTCAGAGTAAGGAGGAGGAGGATGAGAGGAGGAGGAAGGGATACGAAAGTGGTGCTGGGGGGAAGTCTGCGGGTACTGGGTCCCCAACCCCCGCACTCCTTTTAGTAATAAGCTGGTGCGCCCAAGAACGCCAACAACGTATGGCCGTCCTCAAGACCGCACGCGACGCGTGAATAGCGTGACGCCGCCCCGCAAGCTGTAACCAGCCAAGCGAGGGTAAGCGTCACACGCATGACAGTGTGCAAGATCTGCGTTACACGATGCATCACCCGGGCCTGGAGCAAAGGCTGAAGGGAGAAACAGCACTGATCAGCCACACCCCAGGCCCCCTAGACACTCGGATAACCATTGATCCGGGGCCAACGCCTTACCTACGGCACTCGGCTGAAGAGGGCGGGAAGGAGGAGGATGAGGACGGGGAAGAGGAAGGGGAGGAAGACCAATGAGCGGAGTTGCGAACTACACTGAGGATGCAGTGACGCACCGCCCCTTTCCTGCGAAGGCACGACCGTCAAACACGAGGATGAAGAACATGCACCTGCAGAGGCGAGCCACTTCCCGTGGGGAACAGACCTGGTCGGCCGTCGAAGCCCGCCCAGAGGAAGCGCGGGAAAGAGAAAACATGGCCAACGCGTGCGGGGCGGGCGGGCAAGCCCCGACGGAGCCCGGCCGCTGCCGCGCGCAGAACGGCGGCCGCAAAGCCCTAAACAATGTGTGCCCTTCGGCGCCATGGGCACGGAGAGGGCAACCGAGGAGCCGGTTAGAACCATGGAGACTAGTTATGAGCCCCCTTCCGTTCACGTCGACGACTCAGGGACAGGGCAGCCGAAAGGGGACACACAATAACCCGCTGGAACAACGTGACATGTAGTCGCGAGGCGGCGCGCCAGCATGCCGTGCCTGCACCGTCTATACATCAGCCCATAATC